TTCCTCCGTAAAACCCATCTCCATCATGCATACAGGACACTGCCTTCTGATAATGGCTAGACAAGTGGTGATTTGTGTTTACTGCGACTGATCACCTAAGAACTGTGCACATTGCAAACCTATGCTAAAATAGCCAATTATTTTTGTAAACTCATCCTTTCCCCCACCCCTCCGTCTTCTGCCACTTGTTTGTTTCACCTCGCTATGATGGGGTGGATAAAGCCCACATTGGAGAGATAAATGTGCAAGAACAATTCTGGGTCCATGAACCTCTGCCCTGACAGTTCTGCTGAGCTTGCTCCAGTTGGAGGAGGGACTTAAAGGGGAATCTCCTCAGCACAGCAGGGTGGTGGATGAAGAAAGGAAGATCTGCGCTCACTGCTACAGAGGGATGATGCCTAGAGGCTATTCCCAGGGGAGGTCTTCTGCACAGAAAAAGGACCCCCTCACTTGCTGAGACCCAGAGACCACACTGCCAGGGGCAACTGGAAGCCATGAAATGCCCCAGAGGGGGGGTAGAGAGATAGGAAGAGACCCAGAGGAGAGCATTAGCCGACTGCAGGTAGAGGACTCCTGCCTTTCAGTGCTCATGAGGGGCCCATGGGTTGGAACCAAGTAGAGTGAGAGGGACTGGGGCCCCCTAACCCCATACCACCAAGCAGTGCTGTCTCCACAGACTCTGGCCACTAGGAGAGGAGGCTTGTATTACATCTTGTGTTTTTCACTCTAAGCTTGTAGACACATGGACTGCTTTTACTATATGTTTGTACTGCACCTAGCCCAATGGGGTTCTGAGCTGGTTGAGGTGACTAGATGCTACTTCATTATTATCATCAATTATTGCATTACTATCTGGAGGGATGAACATTCGATCTTCTGTGCTTGAGTTTTATTCAGAACTGCTTTGGAGGTGCTAGGAGAGCTTTGAGACACAACGTGTGCTTTAGGCAGGTTTCTTCCTGGCTGCTGAGGCATTGGGTTCTTTACTTGTGAAGACTACCTGTGCCTCTGTCAAGGTTCCTTCCCCACTCTGAACTCTAGGGTACAGATGTGGGGACCTGCATGAAAACCTCCTAAGCTTACTTTTACCAGCTTAGGTTAAAACTTCCCCAAGGCACAAACTATTTTACCCTTTGCCCTTGGACTTCCACTGCCACCACCAAACGTTTATCTGGGTTACTGGGAAAGCATTGTTTGGAAACGTCTTTCCCCCCAAAATCCTCCCAATCCTTGCACCCCACTTCCTGGGGAAGGTTTGGTAAAACTCCTCACCAATTTTGCATAGGTGACCACAGACCCAAACCCTTGCATCTTAGAACAATGAAAAAAGCATTCAGTTCTTGAAAAGAAACATTTTAATAGAAGAAGCAGTAAAAAGAACAGGACCACCTCTGTAAGATTAGGATGGCAGATACCTTACAGGGTAATTAGATTCAAAACATAAAGAATCCCTCTAGGCAAAACCTTAGGTTACAAAAAGACACAAAGACAGGAATATTCATTCTATTCAGCACAGCTATTTTCTCAGCCATTTAAAGAAATCATAATCTAACACATACCTAGCTAGATTACTTACTAAATTCTAAGACGCCATTCCTGTTCTGTCCCCGGCAAAAGCCTCACCCAGACAGACACAGACCCCCTTTGATGTTCTCCCTCCTCCCAGCTTTTGAAAGTATCTTGTCTCCTCACTGGTCATTTTGGTCAGATGCCAGCAAGGTTATCCTAGCTTCTTAACCCTTTACAGGTGAAAGGGTTCCTCTGGCCAGGAGGGATTTTAAAGGTGTGTACCCTTCCCTTTATATTTATGACAGCCTCTCTTGAGGAAAGAGGGTACAAATTCCTTTAATGGATGCTTGTGTTTGGCCTCAGCTCAGAAACACCTGACAGTTTATCCAATTGGGAACCAAATGTTAGTATTCCATTTTGGTTAACGTTATGGAAAAGGCGGTGCCAAAACAACTCAGATTATCCCTCAGATTTCCTGAATCCCGGGTAATTCGGTTTCTAACATGCACATGGCACAGCAACTGCTTCTGTGTCAATGGTTGATATTCTCCTCAGGATGGATGAAGATCAGGCGCTAGGTCCACAAAGGAACTTAAGCTCCTAACTGCCATATTAGATGCCTAAATCAAAAATTTAAATTCTCCAAATCCCAGCTCCACTGTCACCTAACCCTGCAGGCACCTAAATTTCCTGCTGTAAAGTCCCCAAAGTGCCCAAATTTATGCTGCTGTGTAAAGCTTGAGTCCTGACAACATCTGACTCACACCTAAGCCCCATGAGATGCGCAAACTAGTAATTTCCCAACCCTGACCTAGCTCACCTGTAGTGCCCAAATGATGGCTGAGGGAGAAGTGGCTCCCCCCCACTATGCCTGCTAGCCCAGTGGATAGGGCACTCATCCAGGGTATGGGAGAGCTAGGTTCAAATCCTTACTCTGCCTGGTATTGAACAGGGACTTGAACCCAGTTCTCCCACTCCCAGATGAGTTCCCTAATCACCAGGCTATTGGCTGTAATAGAGGGGGTATCACTCAGCCTCTCCTGTTCAAGGTGTTCCACTTTGTAGGCCATGGAATAACAGAAATGTAGGACTGGGAACATAGGCACTGACTCTGTGGATGCTCCAGGGCTGCAGCACCCATGGGGAAAAATTAGTGGGTGCTCTGCACCCACCAGCAGCCAAGCTCCACCCCACCTCCCCCACACTTCTCCCCACTCCTCCCCCCCAGTGCTTCCCATCCACCAGCCGCCTAACAGCTGTTTGGCAGTACTTAGGACTTTCCAGGAGGGAGGGGAAGGAGCAGAGACGTGGCCCACTCAGGGGAGGAGGTGGAGAAGAGGCGGGGCAGGGACTTGGAAGCGGGTGGGATGTGGGAGGGGTTGAGGTGGGAAAAGGCAATGCAGGGGTGTGGCAGTCGAGCACCCAGCGGGCAGAGGGGAAGTCGGTGCCTATGGCTGGAAGGAACCTCAACAGGATTTGCGTGAACTTTGGTTTTAAACTGAGTTGGGATATTAGTGTGAGCAATAGGCCCAAAGCATGCAAATATAGTACCAATCTATAAAAAGGGAAATAAGGACAACCCGGGGAATTACAAACCAGTCACCTTAACTTCAGTACAAGGAAAAATAATGGAGCAAATAATTAAGCAATCAATTTGCAAACATCTAGAAAATAATAAGGTGATAAGTAACCGTCAGCATGGCTTTGTCAAGAACAAATCACGTCAAACCAACCTAATAGTTTCTTTGACAGGGTAACAAGCCTTGTGGATGGGGGGAATCAGTAGATGTGGTATATCTTGATGCAGTAAGGCTTTTGATACTGTCTTGTATGACCGTCTCATAAACAAGCTAGGGAAATATAAGGTGGGTACATAACTGGTTGGAAAACCATTCCCGGAGAGTAGTTATCAGTGGTTTACAGTCAAACTTCAAGGACATATTGAATGGGGTCCTGCAGGGATCAGTTCTGGGTCCAGTTCTGTTCAATATCTTCATCAATGATTCAGATAAAGTCATAGATAATATGCTTATAAAGTTTGTGGATGATACCAAGCCGGGGGATGTTGTAAGTGCTTTCCAGGATGAGGTTAAAATTCAAAATGATCTTGACAAACTGGAGAAATGGTTTGAAGGAAATAGGATGAAATTCAATAAGGAGATAAGAAATATGTGGACAAGTTGGAGAAAATCCAGAGAAGAGCAACAAAAATTATTAAAGTTCTAGAAAACATGACATATGAGGGAAGATTGAAAAAAAATTGGTTTGTTTAGTCAGGAAAAGAGAACACTGAGGGGAGGACAAGATAACAATTTTAAATTACATAAAAGGTTGTTACTAAAAGGAGGGAGACAAATTGTTATCCTTAACCTCTGAGGATAGGACAATAAACAATGGACTTAAATTGCAGCAAGGGAGGTTGAGGTTGGACATTAGAAAAAACTTCAGGGTAGTTAAGCATTGGAATAAATTGCCTAGGGAGGTTGTGGAATCTCTATTTATGGAGATTTTTAAGAGCAGCTTAGACAAACACCCGTCAGGGATGATCTACATAATACTTAGTCATGTCTTGAATGCACAAGACTAGACTAAAAGACCTCTTGAGGTCCCTTCCAGTCCTTCGAGTTTATGATTCTGTGAAATGATGTGTGTTCATGAGCAGATTCAAATTTTTGTTGTGATCTTTTTGGACATTTTGGACTGAACTAAGTAGTTAACTGGTGTTCAGCAGCATTCTCAAAGGAGAAACATGAACTTGTTGACAACTTCCCACAGTGCTTCATGGTACTCCCTCCAAACCCTCACTTGAACCTCAATCTCTTTTGCACATGCAGCCACCAACAAGTCACAAGTTGTACATCTCTCTGATCCATCCACCTCTCCAATAAAACAGACTCAGACTACTTGACCTAATGTCTCCAGACACCCAAGGCGGCAATGTGTCCTTCCCTCAACAATACCATTCCCTTGTCTCCCCAGCAGCCATGCTGCCAACCATGTTCCTTCCTTCCCACACTTCTACCTCATTCTCTTACCCACCCATTCATCCCAAGCCTATGGCCACGGGTCATCAATGAAGCAAGCAACATGGGAGGTCTTCAGACAAGGGTCTTATTGAAGTTTCCCCCTCTACTGGCATGTTACAGTGAAGCTCCTGATAGCATGTTATACTGCATCCTTCAGTCGTCAGCAAAACTGTGGCCCAGTCATTTTGCATATTTTAAAATTGATTCACACCTGTGACTGTGTAGGGAAGCAGCCATCAGTTTCTGGATCAGCATCTTTTAAAGTGACTGTGCAGTAACAGGACTTCAGTGTGTGTAGAGCGTTATTTCTTACAGAGCATTCTCTGCGAGGGGCTCTGACCTTTGGAATGTCGCCTTCCACACGCTGGTCCGAAACAGCCTGACACTGCTCACCTTCTGCACACCCTGCAAAGTTCACATTCTAAAAGACAGAAGCAGTTGTAGGGGGCCGCTCTATTGAGGAGAGAGTCCGGTGTGAGGGGAGAGTTTAAATCTACACTGGGCGTGCTGACTCTTCATCGCTATAAATTACGTGTTGTTTGAAATGACCAAAATTTGATACAATGAGATTTTAATGGAAATGCTGCCATGTTTATTATACTGCCACCATTTGGTTTTCCATAAAAAAAGTACAGATTTGACACATCTGTATACAATCCTTAATGGAATCTCTTGTGTGAAGTTATTGTAAAACAAATCTAAATGACTTAATCTAATCATAATTTGCATGTTTGTCTTTTGCTGTACTCGTGGTAAGAAGCTGAGCTATAGAACATAGGAAGCTGTAGAATTAGAATGAAGAGAAATTCTGTCCATGATTATTAATAAACTACATTTCAACTCCAAGAGAAAAACAAATAGGAAACTGAGTTATCATCATTAACCAAACCAGTAATTATACAATGAAAGAATGCACCTCCATCCTCTCCTACATATAGCACATCCTATCCTACATATAGCATATATCACAAATATCACAGGTCTCCACAGATAAACTGTAATTATACGACAACATGCTTTCCCAATTCTGTTTAATACCCCACAATGCTCAGATTCTGCCATGTCTTTTTGGTTTGTGATGTGCTGTTTCACGTCTTCTCCAAAGTTTTTGCATTTTTCTTCAAAGTTTCCATTAACATCACTGAGCACCACCTCTGCCTTAAAATATAATTCGCTAGTATAATATGAGTTTCCGTTTTCCCACACCATTCTCTCAGCTATTTCTATCAGCTTACTAACCTGCTCTTTCTGTTCTGCTCCAGTTGCTTTGTTATTGAAAGCACAGTATCGGTCCCCACACTTCTGAATCAGCATCTGGAGATCTCTGTTATCCGAGTGTCTCACATAGTCACTCAGTGAACCATCCCCTAAATCTTCTTTTCGGGTGAACAAGACGATCATGTACCTCATGGCCTCAACTCCAAAAATCTCCTCTACTCTCCTCACCGCGTCCTTGTCTTCTTCAGTGTAACGGCCCAGCTGGGTCACCAGCACCAGAGCGTGCGGGCCTGGGACAGAGAGCGCGATACAGCGACTGATCTCTTGGTAAGTGTCTGTGCTACAGATCTTTGGATCAAAAATTGCAGGAGTATCAAGCACTCGAACTGTCTTCCCATTCCAGATCCTACTGCCAGCTTTACAAATCTTAGTTACTGTCTGTGCTCCCAGTATGGATGCAAACACTCTCTCACCAAGGATGGTGTTTCCTGTTGCACTTTTCCCAGCTCCTGTTTTACCTACAAGGACGATTCTCAGTTCTGATTCCCCGTATTGGCTGTGGTAACACGAATCTGTTCAGAACAAAAATAGTAATGTCACTTCAGAGATAACAAAGTTCAGCCATGGGGGAGAGATTGATGTTTTGACATTACAGCAACGACAGGGATTTTTTGGGTGCAATCTTGCCTCCCGCTGCTTTGCTGTGTGGCCTCCCTGTGTCTCAGTACCACCACCCCGTAATGGAGTCGCAGTACTGCTATAGTTAGGGCTGAGAATCACTTATTGTTTAAAGGATGACTTTTCTAAATCCTCTAAAACCTGCTTGGATTGTCTCCACATTTGCTGTGCCTCCTGGAGATCTAGGGCAGGGTCATTGATCTACATTTGGGGTAATTTGAGCCAGGAGTTCCTGACAGAAAGCCCCCCTAAAAATATCATGTGACATCAACACTTTTTGATTCTTCTAAGATTTGTTTTGCCTGCAGCTGGGGCTCCGACTGTGATGCTGATCCTCCCTAAACGGGGATATAACCCATTCAGGATTGATCTCGGCTAGTGCACCCACCCAGGTCTCCTTTGGGGAAGGAATACTGAACCAGCTATTGCGGCTAAAGTGTAGAACTCCAGTATGGGCTGACTCAAACTGATGCTCTAGAGCAGGGGTCGGCAACCTTTCAGAAGTGGTGTGCCGAGTCTTCATTTATTCACTTTCATTTAAGGTTTCGCGTGCCAGTCATACATTTTAACGTTTTTTAGAAGGTCTCTCGCTATAAGTCTATATATTATATAACTAAACTATTGTTACATGTAAAGTAAACAAGGTTTTCAAAATGTTTAAGAAGCTTCATTTAAAATCAAATTAAAATGCTGATCTTACACCCTGGCCCGCTCAGCCCGCTGCCAGCCTGGGGTTCCGTTCACCTAGGCCGACAGCAGGCTGAGTGAGGCCTGCGGCCGGGACCCCGGCTGGCAAGGGGCTGGCGGCCAGAACCGCAGACCGGCAGTGGGCTGAGCAGGGCCGGCGGCTGGGACCCCAGACCGGCAGTGGGCTGAGCGGCTCAGCCCGCTGCCACTCAGCCCGCTGCCAGTCTGGCGTTCCGTCCGCCGGCTCCTGCCAGCCACGGTCCCGGCTGCCGGCCCCACTCAGCCTGCTGACAGTCTGGGGTCCCGGCCCTGTCCACATAGAGTGGGTACCTACCTTCTCCCTGGTTCTAGCCATTCTCTTCCTCTCTCTGCACTGAGATGAGGGTGGGAGTGTGCTGAGAACAGGGCTGGGGGTGAAGGAGCAGGCTGGGGGTTGGGGTGCAGGGTCTGGCCAGGAGCTAGAATGAGGGAGGGGGCTCAGGGTTGGGGCAGGAGGTTTGGGTGTGGAGTGCTTACCTGGGCAGCTCCCATTTGGTGCGACGGGGGGAGGTGGGAATGTGGATGTGTGTGTGTGTACAGGCACTCCCGTTTGGTGCTCAGGGTGGGGATATGGGGGGTGCAAGAATCAGGGCATTGGGTATGGGGGGGCTGGGTATGTGTGGGGGGTGCAGGAGTTAGGGCAGGGGGCTGGGGTGTGTAAGGAGGGTACAGGAGTCAGGGCAGAGGGGGCTGGTTATGTGGGGGGGGATGGGGGTGCTGGAGTCAGGGCTGGGGCTGTGCGGGGGGTGCAGGGGTCAGGGCACAGAGCTTGGGTTTGTGCGGGGTGCACGGGTCAGGGCACAGGGCTGGGGTGTGTGAGGGGGGTGCAGGGGTCAGGGCAGAAGGCTGGGGGGGCGTGAGGGGTTCAGGGGTCTGGGTAGAGGGATGGGGGGTGGGCTGGGGTCGGGGGGGTGCTCCCAGCCCCCTGCTCTGAGCGGCTCACGGCAGGGCGCTGGAGGGGATATGCCAATTCCACTCCCTTCCCCAAGGTCCAGCTCCACTTTTCCCTCTCCCCCTCCCTCGCAAGGGCCATCGGCGGCAGGGAGAGAGAGGAGGAGGGGTGGGAACCCGGCAAGCCGGGGGAAGAGGCGGGGGGAGGGTGAAGCTCGCCTGCCCTGCACGGAGAGAGCCGGGGGTGGGGGGCGGAGAAGAGTGGGCCGGGCCGGGCCGGGCAGGATTTTTAATGGCATGCTGCTGACTGCCGGGGTCCACAGCGTACCATTAAAAATTGGCTCGCTTGCCGTCTTTGGCGCGCGTGCCATAGGTTGCCGACCCTGCTCTCGAGAGAGTGAAATGGGCATGTGCGGCAGCAATGGGGCTCTGTTGCAAGCCAGAAGCTTGCAGGCTCTGTAGTTACTGCAGCTTGATGGCTCCAGGTGACATGCTGTGGTCGTTGAATCTGAACACTTCTGGTTTAAGAACATATTTTAAAGTGCTCTAAAATCCATGTGCAGACTCCAAGTTTAGGGCATGTTTACACTCCAAAATTAAGTTGACCTAACTTATGTCGGCATAAGCGGCTACAGTAATTAGATCTCTTGTGCGTGTCTATACTTAGCTCCTTGTGTTGGCGATGTACGTCCTCACTAAGAGTGCTTGCACCAAGTGAACTGTCAGTGAGGGGCATTGTGGGACGGATTCCGAAAGCCACCAACTGTCAGTGTGAGCAACGCGGTGTCTACACTGATACTGCATCAACCTAACTACGTCGATGTTGACTCTACGCCGCTCACGGAGGTGGAGTTATTAAATCGGTGCAGTGGGAGAGTTTTGTCAGTGAGAGTGAAATGTTCGTGTAGGCACTTACAGAATTAGTCGACATAAGGTGCCTTGCATCAACCTAACTCTAATGTAGACCAGGGCTTACTTTGGAAGTTTTGTAAAGGAAAACAGCATTGATTTACTAGAGGGAAGATAAAAGACTCTGGAGACCAGTTAGGCTCATACAATCATGACTCATGCTCCTCACCTGATTCTGAAAGGGCCAGGGTTCTGTGGCTGGAAGGAGCTGACACAGGCCAGAACAATGAGGGAGAGGGACAATTTTCAAAATAGGATATACAAATGACCCAAACCCACAACGAAGCACAGACAGCCACCAGCATTTCATTAGCATAAGAAAATAAGGACATTGTCATGTTAATGGTGTCTTCGTGATCAGGGAAGTGCTTAGAATCCAAAGAGGGTTGTTTTCAGAGTTGTGTTCAGTGTCCTACAACACACACACACACACCTTGATGCACAAGGTGCTGGAAATGCTGGGTAGCAACCTCAGGGTAAGGATGGGTCTGAACTAGGGGGGTGGAAAGAAAGGGGAGAAAATTCAGTTTGTTTTTTAATTTTAAATATTCCAATCAGGTCTTGTCTGACCAGCACAAGAGCAGAAGGAACAAGAAAAGAAGGGGAACCTCTCTGAGGATTATATTCATGTATTAGACTTATAGGCCAGAAGGGACCATCATGATCATTTAGCCTGACTTCCTGCACATTGCAGGCAACAAACCTCATCACCCACTCTCCACTTTAAACCTGCAAGTGACTCAGGCCCCATGCTGCAGAGGAAGGCTAAAAACCCACCAGGGTCTCTGCCAGTCTGACCTGGGGGAAAGTTCCTTCCTGACCCCAAATATGGTGATCAGTTAGACCCTGGAACATGTCAGGAAGACCCACTGGTCAGACACCTCCAGTTCCAGTGTCCGTAACTCAAGAAGTACGTTGATAAATTGGAGAGGGTTCAGATATATAAGCCCTAGAATGTTAAAGGCCCTCTTCCCTATCATCTGAGAAAGGATTACGTCAGGTCAGTCAGGATCAGCTGAAAAGAGGTTACCTGAGGTCAATGAGAAACACCTGAATCCAATTAAGGGATTTAATTTGAGAGAAGAGAAGAAAGAGAGGGAGACAAGCTGTTACTATGTTAGTGGTGGCAGGGAAGTGAGCATCTCTGAAAGGAGAGGCTGTGCTTCTTCCCATAGGGGAAACAGACAGGGGGAAGGTTTCAGAGGGGCAGCCGAGTTAGTCTGTATCAGCAAAAAAAAAAAGGAGTCCTTATGGCACTTTAGAGACTAACAAATTTATTTGGGCATAAACTTTCGTGGGCTAAAACCCACGTCATCAGATGCAAGCAGTGGAAAATACAGTAGGAAGATATATATATACAGAGAACTTGAAGAGATGTGGGTTGCCATACCAACTCTAACGAGACAAATCAATTAAGGTGGGCTATTATCAGCAGGAGAAAAAAACTTTTGTAGTGATAATCAGGATGGCCCGTTTCAAACAGTTGACAAGAAGGTGGGAGTAACAGTAGGGGGGAAAATTAGCATGGGGAAATAGTTTTTAGTTTGTGGATGGGTCATTACATACTTGACCCTCTGCTATTTAATATTTTGATTAAGAACCTTGAAGAAAACAAACATTTGCAGATGACACAATCACTGGGGGAGTGGTAACTAACGAAGAGGACAGGTCACTGATACAAAGCAGTCTTGCTTGTGTGGTAAGCTGGGCAGAGGAAAACAACATGTGTTTTATTATGGCTAAATGTAAATGTGTACATCTAGGAGCAAAGAATGGAGGCCATACCTGCAGGATGGGGGATTCTATCCTGGGAAGCAGTAACTCTGAAAAAACTTTGGGAATCGTGGTGGCTAATCAGCTGAACATGAGCTCTCACTGTGATGCTGTGGCCCAAAGGGCTGTTCGGATGCATAAACAGTGGTACCTCAAGTAAGAATAAAGAGGTTATTTTACCTCTGTATTTGGCACTGGTGCAGCCATTTTTGACATGGAACGTAACTCTTTCACCACTTGTGCCCATAGGCACCGACTCCGTGGGTGCTCCAGGGCTGGAGCACCCATGGAGAAAAATGTGCGGGTGCTCTGCACCCACCGGCAGACAAGCTCCCCCGGCCCCTCCTCTTCCCTGCCTAGGGTGACCAGACAGCAAGTGTGAAAAATTGGGACAGGGGATGGGGGTAAAATAGGAGCCTATATAAGAAAAAGACCCAAAAATCGGGACTGTCCCTATAAAATTGGGACATGTGGTCACCCTACCCCTGCCTCCTCTTCCCCCGAGCGTGCCGCATCCCCGCTCCTCCCCCACCTTCCCAGCACTTCCTGCCTGCCAGCTGCCTAACAGCTGTTTGGCGGTGCTTAGGACTTTCTG